ATATGTATGGAGAGAGAATATCATGTATATGAACTTTAAACGCTGTTAAATATTACTCTATAGATGTAAGCATACATACATATGAGTAAAATTATAACATGCAGAGGAATGATTCAGAGTAAATATGGTGGTTACTTCTGGGGAGAGAGGGAAGGAGACAGGATTTCGGAAGTTCACACAAAGTGATTCAAGCGTTTGTGAAGATTTTCATTGTTGTTTTGCTCTGATGTGCTTTGTTTAAAGCAAACACAGAAAACATGAGTATTATTAAAGTTTGTTGGTATATGAATATTTTTATCATTTTAGGCTTTTTGTGTGTTTGAAATATTTCACAGTAAAAATATATTATAAATTTATAACATGGACCTAAAATACAATGGGGGACAAACCAGCTTCATACTAAATTTCACAAGTAGACCCAAGAGACTAGATGACATTAGAGTTTATGTAAAAAAAAGTGTCATGAAGTTTAGCTTACTACAAAAGTCTTGAGACCAAAACTTAAATAAATGCAGTCAACTCATTTGAAGATAAATTAGGAGTCAAAAAAAAAAAAAAAAAAAAAAAGAATGCACTTGTCCAAATTGAAGTGAATGGGCTAATGGAAGGAAGTGACTTGCTTGTTCTTGGAGGTTTTCAAACAGAGCCAGTAGATGAGTCAGTTTGGTGGAGATAGGATGTTATTTTGAGAGTATGAATGAATGAGATGAGCACTAAGGGCTTTTCCAACAATTACTAATAAAAATTATCCAATTTATTTTTGTTCATTAAACAGGTGCTCTTTACAGTTTTTTAAGGTCATCCGTATCCATATGAAGAGTCATTATCCTGTGACTGCACAAAATTCACAGGATACATTTTGCTATTTTAGGTGAGCTCAAATTTGGATCAGACTTTGTAGCCACCAAAATCTATTCTTTCCTTTTTGAGCAGGCTTTTGGTTTAAACAGATACCAGTATAATCATTATTATTTATTCAATAACATTTAACAAGCCCTTACTTAATGCCACACTCTATATTACTATTTTGCTGCTCTCCAAGCTTTGTCTAAGTCATCTTCTGAGATAAGAAATGTGTTTAAAAAGTCAGACACATTCATTTTTAATGAATTAATACTATTCTCCAGTCACTGAAGTCAAATTATTTAGTATTTTAAATATCAGCAATATCAATATTATGGCATTGTTTTATAGACAGAAGCATGAAACCTAAACTTGCTTGTAACATAACAAACTTGCGATTTATTTTTCTATTTTTGCTAGAAATGGAGAAGCTGACCTTGGCCTAAATCTTTAGAGATTACTTGAAAGGAGTGTTCATCTTAAAGCAAGAAATAAAGACATGGTCTGCTAAGGTCACCCTAAAAATCCATTAAAAATTTATTAAAGATGAGCTAGTAGTAGGCAGATGGTAAATATAAGTATCCAAATAGAAAATAGAATATTGTGGTGCAGCAGGAAGCATGGGTGTGTAGACAAGAAAAATCAATGGCGGTAACTCAAATAGGCAATAAATCTCTCTTAAAGAATATTGTCATGTTTTCTGAACCTGCAACTATAACCTACATTAAATTTTTTATCTGATAGTGAAAAGTTCTTTGCACTTTCATACCTATTATCAAACTAAGAGTTTTTTCTTCAGTTGAATGGTGGGATGAAGAATTATAAAAAAAACAAAAAACAAAAAAAAAACAAAAAACAACATTTACTGAAGTCTTGTGTAATTATTCTGATACTATCTTTGCTGCAGCAAAACCAAGAAACTATATAATTGGCTTTCTAGTTTTTATGAGCAGAGATATAATGATGTGACCCAATTGGTTATTTCTCCTTTAAGCTTCATGATTCCCAAGAAATCTCTACTCTACAGCTAGTATCTCTAGATCAGAGGTGTTTAATCAGCTAGGTATTACTTTGAAGCAAAGCCTGTTTAAATCAAAACGTGTAACAGTGGCGGTAAGGTCAAGTGGTGGGAGTAATGTGGATGTCATGTATTCTAAACAGTGACCTTTACATAAAAAACAATTAATTTCTTCAGTGTTTGAGAATTTAGTCCTTAAACTCACAAGGTCCAAAAAGAGATGTACTCATTTCCTCAATGGCATTGTTGGGCATTTTTGTTCAAGCCGGGAATTAAGAACCTGGTTTCTACTGGAAGCCATTTCAGAATTTGTGTCTAAATGAGAAGTTAGAATCTTCAGGAGTGTATTGTCCATATTTTTTGCATATTAAGCACTACATTTTTTGTTGTTGTTGTTAGAGGATATTATGTTTGTTAAATGAAATAAGCCACATACAGAAAGACAAAGTTCTCACTCTTAAGTGGAATCTAAAAATGTTTCTCTCATGGAAGTAGTGAATAGAACAGGTTAATGGAAACTAGGGAGGGGAATAGAAGGGTGGAGAGAGGTTTGTCAATGGGTATAAATTTACAGTTTGGAAGGAAGAATAAGTTCTGGTGTCCTATTGCATAGTAGGGTGATGATAGCAAAAAATAGGATAGTGTGTATCTCAAAATAGGTAGAAGAGAGGATTTTCACCACAAACAAGGGATGAATGTTTGAGGTGTTAGATACACTAAGTATCCTGATTTGATCAATACACATTATATGCAGTATCAAAACATCAGAGTGTACCCCATAAATATGTATAATTATTATGTGTCAATTAATAACAATAATAAAAGAGAGAACTCACAACTTCAGAGACATACTTAAGATATAAAGCTTCCAGTGACTCTAAGGTGTTTCTCATTTACTTTGGATCACATAAACTTGGTGGCTTTGAAAGTAATGGAGTAAAACATCCAAACAGTTCTAGGAAATTGGCAGTGCTTCAGAAAGAAGACAGCCAAATGGAAATGTCCCTGTGGAAAAGACATTGTTCAGACAATTGTAACATAGATTATGACGGGACAATGCGTATGTTTTCTTTATGTATCAAGGCTGAAGAGAGCATGATTTTTGTGTTTTGTTTTTTTTTTTTTTTTTGCTATAAATCAAACTTACAGTGTGTATTGGCAGCTCTTAGTTCCATAGACTTAACTAGATTCATTACGCTGTTGGTTTCCTAGTTTAAAAATAACCTACCCATTTTTCCTTCAGTATTATTAAAATTAGGTTGCTTGTGAATTCAAGATGCATTGGTCTTACATGTTATGCATTGTTTTGGCAAATGTAGCTATGATCCTTAAGCGAGACTTGACAGTGAAAAGTAACAACAATATTTCTATTGAATGTAGAAGTTATTCTAGAGAAGCAATTGTTATTAAAAAGAACTTTCTATTCTGCCAATTTATGACAAAATTGATCAAAGTTAGTTTATGTTTTGATGTGGAATTTTCAAGAGACTTTTTTACAGTTGATCTTAATATCCTTAAAGGGAGATAGATTTTTGGGTTATCTTATGATTTTTAATATATCCTTTATGACTTCCTTTTTAGAGAGAAAAATTGCCAATATTTGCACCTTCATATTTAAAAGAAAAACAAAATACATGCTTTGTTTCAATTCTTCAGCAGTCCAGGGAAGTAAAATAAATGATAGAGTGGTTTGGAATTGAATTTGTGGCACCAAAATGAAATTTTATAGAAATTTAATGTGTTCCACTTCAGAGGACAGGCAGATTCCACCCTGATATATAAAGTGCTTCATTTGTGTGTTTTTAAACATTTTTTTTTTCTCATTGCAGGAAGAGGGAGGTTCAGGGGTGACAGCAAGGGATAGATCTGATTTGACTTTATTCCCAGCAGGCAATAGAGTGGAATTCTCTGTCTTGGTAAAACTTTTTTTCTTTTTTTTTTTTTTGAGACAGAGACTTGCTCTGTCACTGAGGCTGGAGTGCAATGGCACAATCTCGGCTCGCTGCAAACTCCAGTTCCCAGATTCAAGAGAGTCTCTGGCCCAGCCTTCTGAGTAGCTGGGATTACAGGTGTGTGCCACCACGCCTGGCTGATTTTTGTATTTTTACTAGAGACATGGTTTACCATTTGATCAGGCTGGTCTCGAACTCCTGACCTTGTGATCCGCCCTCCCTGGCCTCCCAAAGTGCTGGTATTACAGGTATGAGCCACTGTGTCCGGCCGGTAAAACTTTTTTTAGGGAACACTGGGAAGGGGCTTGATGGCTTTTGTAGTATCTTAATATTATAGAAGTCAGCATGGACCAGATTAGTAATTTTTGTCCAATTGTTTTATTTTTTGAATCACATTTCATGTGTGTATACGAATAGACTTTACTATTCCCTTTGGTGGATATGGAAAGAGGAATTAAAAACTCCATGACAGCTTTTCCTCCTTTTTGCTTTAAAGAGAAAATCTGTCCCTCCTTCTCTCCCCATCCCTGCCTTACACACACACATACATACACACACAAACACACTCACTGTCTCTCTTTCTCTCTCTTTCTTCTACAGGAGTGCTTATAATGAAAACACAGTCTCCTGCCCATGCCTCTTCATTTCTGTTCCCATGGCCCCACGGTCAATAATTTCTGGCTATTTCTGCTTTCTTCAGGTGGTTGCTTTCATTTGGTTAATAAATGTTTATGTGGCTATTTCTGGGTTGAGACATTAAGCTTCCTACTCTGCTGAAGATTTAGCTTAACCATATTCTCTTTCACCCCCTCTCCTTCTTCCTCCTGGTGTAGTTACAAAATGCATTAGTTTGTCTATTGGTTACTTTTCTACCTTCAGTGGTATAATTAAACCTCCATATCTTGTTTCACCAACTACAGAAAATATTTCTCCTCCTTTGTGTGTACATTTTCTATAGAAATAGGTGGCTTGTTAAAAGTCAAAAGGCAATGTTCAAAACCAATTTATTTCACCAACTTCTTTACTAATGTCTGTGTAATATGTCAGTCTTTTAAATGTACTGATTTTCAGATGGTGCTTTGTGAATTACTAGGAATGTCTTCAGGAGTTTCACAAAAAATAAACATTGGTCATTCTGAAGCAGCTGTGTTGTCTGGGGCATATAGCCGGGGTTTGTTGTCGCATGCCAGGGAAATTTAGGACATAGACATACATGAGGAGTTTAGGAGCTGAGGTTTAATAAGCAGAATAAAGAGAAAGAAAACCAGCTCTCTATTGAGAGGGGACTTTGGAGAGGAAAGAGCAGCTGGTGGTGGATGCCTGGGATTTTATAGTCGGCTTGAAGAGGCAGTGTCTGATTTACACAGGGCTCAGAGATTGGTTTGATCAGGTGTGATGTTTACATAGCCTGCAGGGAAGGCTGGTCACCCCACCCTAATCTTATTATGCTAATGAACTATCCCCTTGGCAGGTCCCGTCTTGTCTGCTCCTTACTGTATACAAGGCAGACAGAGAAGGAAAGATAGAGCCACCATTTTGAACATGATTGCCACAACGGTGGCATCTGTGTCTGCCGCTCGATTTTACAGGCTTCTCTTTGTTAGAAAGGAAAATGGTATGGGATTGCTTTTCATAAATAGGAAAACCTCACTGCGGAGGACTTCCATACCATCACTATCTGCCTAAGTAATTTCTTCTTCACTACTGTATCAATTCGTTTTTTTTTCTTTTTTTTCCTGTCCCATACATTGGATTTTTATTTAAAAATGAGATTGGTTTCTAGGGATTAGGGTTCCAGTCCAGCTCTTCCAGTAACTTGCTTGGTTACTTTGAGTAGGTCATTTGTGCTGTGTGGACATTAATTTTAACAATGGTAGCAGTAGCAGCAGCAAATTACAAGAAGATAGGATTTTTTTTTTTTTTTTTTTTTTTTTTGGCTAGGGCTGTTATAACAAAGTACTACAGTTTGGGTGGCCTTAACAATATATATTTCTCATAATTCTTGCGGCTAGCAATGTTGGTTATCAAGGTGCTGGCAGTGCTGGTTTCTTCTGAGGGCTGTCTCATTGGCTTCTTCCCCATGTTTTCACATGGTCTTCCTTCTGTGTACGTTGTATTTTAATCACCTCTTCTTATAGGGACTAGTCATATTGGATTAGGGCCTACTCTATGACCTTATTTTAGCTTCATTACCTATTTAAAGACCGTGTCTCCAAATATAGTCACATTCTAAGGTAATGGGGGTTAAGACTTCAACATATAAATCCTGGGGAAGCATGGAACAATTCAGCCCATGAGAAAACTAGTAATGTCAACTTTCATTGAGCTAAAAACTTCACGGAATACTGCTAACCTAGAAACAGGGACTTGTTCACATTTGTTTAATATTTATATGCTACTTCTCTTAAGTTGCATTTCTTAAAGCTAGAAATGATCATTAGAAATCAAGCATTCTGATGCTACAGAACTCAGTCAGAATGACTGCAGCATTTTGGAAGGTGTCCATAGAAGTTTGAGAATGAACTTTCTTTGAACTTAGTGTGTATGTGTAATGTTAAGCTGGATTTTCAATATTCTAGATTTGCCAAAATTGACTTATACTTAGGTGTCATAGGTTAAAGTTTCAGTATACTGAATGAGTCATTGCTTTTTCCCAAGTCTCAGATTTAGAGTAACACTTACTGCTGGTTGGTTGTGAGAATCCAAGGAGGTAAATGTTAACGTGTGTTGTCAAATGTAAAGTGTTTTGTAAATTAAAATGTTGTCTTTAATAACAGTAGGAAAATATTTTGTCTTAGAAACATGAATTCTACTTTTTGTGCTAAGTACATATGAGAGCACCTTGAACAAAAAACTTAAGGATCATCTAATTTAGTATATTTGTTTTCGTATGTGGAAATTAAAGCTAAAAAATTTTAAGAGACATGCTCCTAATCATCTGGAAGAATTGTGTTGGAATTATTTGCTCTAGTGAACTTTCTAGTCAATAGTTAAGCAACTTTTTCTGTAGGATTTTTGAATTTCATAAAAATTCATAGTAATGAATAATGGGAAAGCATTTGTGCATTCATTTACATGAATATGCTTTTCACTTTATGTCATTTCTATGATTATCATATTTTTCTTTTTGAAGATATTTAGTTCAGACCACCAAATGAACTGTGTTGAACTACATGGGCCAATAGTATTTTTATCTTGTGTTTTATTTCTAAATCCATCTTCTCTCTTTGTTTAGGAAGTTTTCAGTGTAATAATTCTGTCACATCAGGAGTTTGAAAATGCAGAAAAAATAGTCCATTTTTTTTGGGGGGGTTACATGTGGGCTTATGCACATTATACCTTTAATTAAGCTGGAATTTAACTTCTCATTATTTTATTATATGTCAGTTTGATTTTAAGCTTCTTATGTTGCATTTAGATTTATTCTGAAATGAAAAATTATGAGCCAGCGACACGGTCCAACTTTTTCCCCGTGATTTATCTCTTTGGGGCTCCCGTGTTTGTTTGGCATAATAGAATGGATGGGAGAGAAGGTCTATTTTTACTGAAAGTGACAGGAATAAAGATTCAGTCTTTGAGGTTATATTTGCTTTTTTTTTGCTTTCAGGGTTAACTTTTGGCCTTGAAGATAAAGACAGTATGATATAGAAGGCAATCATTGGTCTTTCACTGTCTCCTCTTTATCTACTCGGCATTTCTGCCTCTAACTCTTTGCCTGTTTGGGATGTTCACTGTCAATTGCAAATCTTCATTCACGGATCAGCACAAAAGGCCATATCTAGTATTGGATGGTACAATCAAAGGATGAACAAGGAACATTTGAAAACCCAGTCCTTGTTTATCCTATATGAAATAAAGCCTTGGAATCAACAGCTGGGAGGGGCAAGAGACTATAATTTCTTACTGTTGATTAAATGTAAACAAGTGATTAAAGACTAACTATGTATACTTCACCAGATACAGACCTTCAGTATAGTCGCAAATTATATTCTGTCCTAGCTACAGAAAGGCAACTTTTAACATCTCAAAATTATAGAACTAATTACTTTCTGGTTACACTCTGGAAATACAACACCAGCTCTTTATAACTGGGTATAACTGCATACCCAGTGTGAAGAAGAGGGCAGGTAGATATCATATACCTTTTTCATTCTTTTTATTTTCAACTTCTTGTGTATTTATTTTAAAAATCTTTTTTATCTTGTTTTTTATAACAAAAATATTGTTTTTGTCTGATAATTTTAAGTGGGATGTTTAGTTTCTTAAAATTTAATGTAATGCAGTTGTCTTTAATGTTACCATCTTCCTATTTCGTTTTAATTGGTCCCAAGGATTCTTGTTCTTTTCTTCTTTCTTTAGGGTTGAATAAATGATTTTGAGAACTGATTTTATCTATTTGCCTGTTAGCTATACTTTTCATAATTTTTAAGTGGTCATTCTAGTGATAACAGTATCACACATAACTTGTTACAACTTACTTTGATTTAATACTATAACACTTGATGTATAATATAGCACCCTGAAAACAGTGTAATTCCATTCTTCCGATCACATCACTTGTGCTATTATTATATATTTTACTTCTACATGTTAATATGTAAAAATAGTGTTATTATTTTTGCTTTACACAATTCTCTTTCAAATAAATAAGAAAAAAGTTTTCTTTATATTTTCTAACATACTTGTCATTCCCAGTGCTCATTATTTTTTGTTTACCAAAGTTTCCATCCTATATTATTTCTGTTCAGTCTGAAGTACATCCTTTAGGTTTTCTTATACTCTAGATGTTTTGAAGATGTACTGGTAACAAATTCTAACAAAACATTTCTTTATATGAAAATGGCTTTATTTTCCTTTATTTTGAAAAAAAAATATATGTTATTTTAGATTGACATTTCTTTTTTTCTGCCAACGATTTAAAGATATTATTCCATCATCATCTGGCCTCAATTATTTCAGATGAGAAATCAATCAGAATGTGTTTTTCCCGATTATGTTTTTTTTTTCTCAGTCTACTTTAAAAAGTTATCTCTTGTTTTCAGAGTTGCTTATGAGATGCTTAGGTAACGTTAATTCTTGTTTTATTGCTGAGTACTATGAGTGATACTTATTGTATGGATATACACAGTTATTTATCCACCTTCTGTTGTTGAACATTGACTTGTTTCTAGTTTTTGAATATTATAAATAAAGCACCTATGAACATTCTTGTACAAATCTTTTTATGGGCATATATTTTCATTTGTCTTGAGATAAACCCCATGAATAAAATTGTTAGGCCATAGCATAAATGCATCTTAAATTTTAAAGAAACCGCCACAGTGTCTATAACATTTTTTACCGGGGCCATGATTCATCCCTCTTACTAGTGCTATATTTAAAACCCTCTGTTGGCTTCATATCTCACTCAAAGTAAAAGGCAAAGTTATTACAATGGGTTGCAAGTTCTTATACAATAGGTACCCGGCTCATGTTCCTTCTTTGACCCCATGACTATCGAATTTTATTTTTCTTTCCCTCTGCTCCAGACACAATAGCTTCCTTTGATTTTGGAAAATACAAGTCTTGCTCCACTCAAGGCAACAAACTTAATGAATCACTTTTGCTCCAAATTCTGAGCTCCCTCCCTCACTTTAGGTCTTTGATCAAATATTTTTTTCTTGAGGCTTTTCCTGACACTGTAATTAAACCTGCATCTCTTCCTAGCATTCTTTCCCCCTTCCCACAATGTGATTCTCTCCCATCTCTTACGTTTTCTTTGTTACAACATATCACTTATCAGTAAGAAATGTTTTGTTTACTAGTTTGCTTGTTGTCAATCTTCAGCCACTAAAATGTAAGTTCTGGGAGGGCAGGAATTTTTGTTTATCTACATTTTTATCCATAGAACATAGTAAATAATAAGTATTTGTTGAATAAGTGATTAAATGTCTTACGGTTTCTATTCTTGCTGTTGAGAAATCTGCCAGTTTGGTTGTTTTTATTCTGTCTCTCTGACTACTTTAAAGATATCCTCATAGAGTTTCTGTAGTTTCACGGCAACATACATACACGCACATTTACTTTGAGGTATTCTGCTTAGTATAGATTATACTTTCTTACCTTTGGATTCATTTCTTTCATTATCGCTGGAAAATTTATAGCCCCTATTGCTTTAAGTATGGCTTCTCTTCTGTTCTAGCTCCCTTCTCTTTTGGAACTCTGGTTTCCTCTTTCCCTTTATTAATTTTCTCTGTGACACCTATAATCATCTGACCTGGAACCTACTTTCTACGGACTTTGTATCTTTTTTTCCTTTACTTTTTTTCATCAGGATCTAGAAAGTGCCTAATACATAACAGACACTTACTGAATGTTCGTTGAATGTTTATAGGACGGATGAATTAATAAATGTTAGCTGCTCTCTATGTTCCTTATTGTTTGACATCTCTTCCAAATTTTTTATCTGCTTTTCTCTCTCTGCTGCCTTTAGAATACTTTTTTTGGTGAATTCATGAATGTTCCTTCAGTTTTGCCTGTTCTGAGATATAACCTATCCATTAAATATTTTTATTTCAATAATACATTTCATTTCATTTCTAAAATGTCTAGTTCTTTCAGGTTTTTTCTAATCACTTTTGATAGTATCTTGTTGCTTGCTCACTTAATAAATGCAATTATTTTATCTTTAAATATCTCATACATAGGTATTTTATAATCTCTAACTGATAATTATAACATCTCAGGTTCTTGGATAGCTATGACTGTTGCCTGTACTGTTGATTCACGCTTATGTTGGTTTGTGTTATTGCATGTTGGGTGATTCTGATGGTGAATAGCTATAATAGTTATGATATCTAAATTATGTCTATAAAATATGTTATATAGAGTAATAAATATAAAAACCTCCTATAACTCTTAATTATGGAAGCTTTCCTCAGAGAGGATTTGCAGTTGTTTCAGCTTGACAGCAGGGAATGTTACAAATCTTTAGCCCTTGTCCAGAGTTCCTGGCTTAAACCAGGAATCTAGCATTCAGCACTCCCCTTTTCCTTCTATATCAAGGCTCAGTGTTTTCATTGCAGTACTGATAGTGGCATTTGTCTTTTGAACAATTTAGACTGTCTCGTTTGCTTACAACTTTTTGCTCTGGTTTTATTATTATTTTATTTATTTATTTATTTATTGGCCTCTTTTGCCTCCCTGATATGTCCTTTGGCTCCTCCAAGCCTAACAATGCAAAAGCTTTGTGGATTAGTATGTTTTTATCAGTATCTATCCGCATCTATATCTACATCTATGTGTATATGTATCTTTTTTTTTCTCCTATGAACTTTCTTCTGTTGAGAAAAAAACGGCTTCATGTGCCTTTTTATACTTTTCACTTAGAGAAACAAAATATTGTTAAAATGATAAATATGGAAGTATGAACTCTGCAAGTCTATCAGTTATTTGCATCATTAACAGTTAATGCCCATGGCTTTATTAGGCCACAGAATTCATTTATATGCCCACAGCATATTCTTTAACTGGTAAATCAGACTTGATTTTTCTGTTTAACTACTTTTCAGGGAAATGTTTTAAATATTTAAACAATTATTACCATCATTTCCCCTTGAACACCACTCAGCACTTAATATCTGGTTTCTTGCTACTTGTTGGTTTGGAAACATGATTCTGTAACTTGATGACAGTAGCCATGGGTAGGTATTTTCTTCAGATGTTTTATTTGTTTATTGTTCAAAAATGTATCCTAAATTAACAACGCTCAACAACCTGGTGCAAATTTTAGAGTTTGGAAAAACTTTGTGATAAATTTTTGTAAAGCAAGAGTAGGTGTTAATGAAGCAGGTTTATTTCCCTGACTGTTTCATGGGACTCATAACAGGAGTTCCTGATTTACTCAGCCCTTATGGGAGGGGAAGCACACAGGTGAGTGTGTACAGGAGCCACGATGCCTGCTTCTGAGCACAGAGAGGAGCGGGGCTCTCCGTGGCCCCACAGCAGTGTCTGAGTGGGTACCAGCAACCTCTGGAGCCCCAGACACTGTGTTACAGTACTCTTTTGTTTTTGCTGTCTTTGGATGGCTAAAGTGTTAAGCAGCTCAGGCATCTGCACTTGTGGCTCCCAAGCTCTTCTTTGACATCCAGGAAGAATCAGGTCACAGGAATGAATTGAAGGGTGGTGAATATGGAGGATTTTACTGCCGATGAAAGTGGCTTTCAGCGGGAAGAGGAGCTGTAAAGAGAATGGAGTGCGAAGGTGATCTTCCCTAGAGTCCAGCCATCCCTGGCCAGGTTCTTCTCCAAAGTCCCACCGTCCAGCCATCCCTCTGAAGTCAAGCTGCTTCTCTCTGACACCTGGCTGGTGCATTTCTTCTCTCCTTCTCTGCTGCTTCTCTGCCAGTGGAGCCCGGGATTTTTATGAGTACAGAATGAGGGGGCCAGGTGGGCCAGTGTGGTCTTGGAAAAGGCAACATTAGAGCAGGAAAATGAGGATGTAAAATTCTCACTTTGTGCCACAGTTCCAGACTTTAAGGTGGGGCCCTCCCGGGAACTGCCCTCCTCTACCAAGTATTTCTCTGCCTCCTGTCCATATCATTAAGACCTATAGAACAAGTCAATGCATTTTTTAATGAAGAAGAGTGTCTCAGTTGGAAATATAGCCTTGCATAGTTGCTGCTGGAGTAACAGTTTCAGATATTATGGCAATTTCACAAGAGACATTTTGTATAGTTTGGTAAAATCAGTTTTAGTTGATTTGCTCTCTTCCATCATCTAAGAAATTCACTGACAATTTTATTTTTATTAAATAAGAGCTAGCAATTATTTAAGACATAACATGTATCTTTAGAAATAATTTAAGCTTTACTCATAAAAACTTTGCACTTAAGAGTTCTTTTTGCTAGAATTCACATCTTCCCACTTTTTCCCCCCTATATTGTACTTTCAGAACAAGATGTTTAGCAGTGACAAGTTTAGAGATGGGACAGGGTGGAAAGGCAGAAAGGAGGGGACTGCAAAATATCAAACTGAGGAAAGAAGAGGCTGCATTCTGAGACATCTGGTTAAAAAGTTAAAAAAAAAAAAAACATCTGGGGACCACAATACTCTACATATTCAAAATCATCCAGTTAAAATGGTAAAATGAATGACAGAATATTTCTCTATTTTTAGACAAATGGGCTATGTGTTTAAGTGAACATCTTAATTTTTATTTAAATCTGTTGAATTATGCTGTCATCAAAACCTGTGTCTTTCAAGTGACACATTTTTTTTTTTCTTTTACTTGTATTTACTTTTAAATTTTGGGCATTTTATTTTCTGGCTTACAGCTTTCATTCCCCAGTGTAATACCTAATTTCATCCCTCAGCATACAACTTAAATCACAGATTTTGCCTTTGTTTATGGCTGCTGTTGATATTATCTAGAAGGAAAAAATTTTGAATCTTATTTCTGTTGTTTGTGCAGGGGGAGCAAATCCCCCAAAAAACTGATCAAGAGGACAAGAAAAGAAATATAGATTATGTTCATTGAAGTAGTCAGTGATTGAAAACATCTATTCTTTCTACAACTCAAAAGTTAATAACACTTTCAGGTTGTACAAAGTGTAAAACCAATTGAAGGAGGTCTGGGACCTTTAGCCTACTATAAGGAA